AAGACCTTGAATAAGACTTTGAAACCTCTCTGGGCATTCGTTGGGAGTTGCAACTAACTAATTTTATTTTCGTCTTCATGGTCCAAATTTTAGGATTAAATCCTTGAACCCCATCACCCACAAAGTTAGTATTTCAAAACCAAAAAAAACAGTTCCTTAATTCCCAGGTTTTTATGTGTGAACATATTAAGTTGAGCCAACCCCAGTTTTTCTTCTGGAGATCACTCCTGGGGTAACCACTACCCTCACACTTCTAGTTTTCCTTAAGGGAGAAATGGATGACTGTTTCCTTTGATGACAGCCTGATCCAAGACCAGTGTGACTGGCAAGAATCTCCCGGCACTGAGGTGGTAGCTTCTGATGCGGAAGAGCATCGCCCCGGGAGGGACGGTGCCCGGCGGGGGAGGGCCGGGGACGACGAATGGAGAGTGTTAGCAGAGAGCGCACAGAGGCTAATCTCATTGCCAGTGCTTCGTGTAGCTGAACAGACTGTTTGTCATATTTAATTTTAGCTGTAATTGTTCAATTGGGACCTTATCCAGACTGACTTCCAACCCGCTAGCCTGTTCTGCCCCACCTCGTCGCAGGCTCTTTACGACCTTCCCAGCCCTGCATCCGCTGGCCAGCCCCACCAAGTCACTGAGGTGGTCAGCCCCAGGTGTTTCTTTTCCAGCCTGTGGAGCAGGTTAAAGCTCCCTGGCTCACCCTTTGGAAGCAGAGTACTTTTCTCTTTCTGATCCCCTTACTCTGCATCCAATTCTTTTCTCTCCAAAGGACGCTGAATGAAAGAGACCGTGAGAAGCGGCATGAGCTCCACTAGGCTTGACAGGAGGAGGCAACGAGGTTTCCACTGATGATTCCAGGTGGAGAAGGCTTAGCCCTCACCTGTCCCACCTCTGACAAACGCAGGTGCAGCATAAGGCAGCAGGGAGAGTCCTGAGCGTGGGCTCAGAAACCCAGATTCTGCAGTTCTAAGTGGTGCTTGGATGGGCAAGCCCACGCCTCTGTCTAGTGGAGTGAGTACCTGTCTAGGTGACCTGACAGGTGGTTGAGGGGGGGCCCTTGAGGTAATACCTAGGGTGACACCACGTGAATTGCTGAGGTCTGCACACACGTGCCAGGCAGGTGGTCTCCAGCATCTGCCTCCACCAGACTAGAATGGGGCTGTTGGTAGAGTCAGCCTGCCCTTGGAGCCTGAGGTGGGAAGGTCACAATGGTCCCTCAAGGTCAGCTTGAAGTCAGCGAGATCCCAGATTCCTGCCTCTTCCCCAAGTACCTTTCTTCATCATATAAACTGGCTGGTCTCCTCCCCTCCTAGCTGTGGTTTTCTCTGCTCCCCTTCTCATCCAGGTTCCTGGAAATAAAAGGTGAGCCCCACATACCCTTCCATGGTCCTCCATCTGCCAACCAAGGGAACGCCAGCTCCCCAGCCATTTCTGCCCAGGGACTCCCACACAGAGCCTGAGGCGAGGCCCTCGTCCTGCACTTTCTCATTCATCTCATGAATGCCATTCCAAAGGAAGTAAAGTCCCCTCCCTTCTGTATCCCTCAAATTAGTTGGAAACGGGACATGACATAAGTCCCTTCACTTTGCTTTTGGTGTTATTTGCAGAGAAACGTGAACCTTCCTGCTTTCCTCGTTTATCAATGCGTTGCTCATTGTTTGCCATTTCTGAAAGGGTTTTGAGCTCATTCTTCTCACCCAGAGAGTAATAAGGTCGAGAGAATTGGTAGGAAAAGGCACCAACTCTTTCTGACAGAAAAGGAATAATTGTCTGAAGCATAAAGCCTTCTCAATGTGAAGTTTCTGCTGACCTCTTCAGCTATGCTGGTTGCCATTTTTTTCTGGCATCAGCAAGCATTTTCTCCCCCTTGTGATAAATATCAGGTTCATTCTGATTCTTAGTTCGCATAGGCTTGCAAATTCAGATCACACTGAAGACCAAATTACTGCCTTTGGGACAATGGCCTTTGTCTGTTGCTAATCGGGGATTTAGTATTTAGCTCAAGAGACAGGATTTGGGTCCGAGATTTTACTGGGCTGTGTTTTTTTAAAACTCAGTTAATTACAGGCTTAAGTCATACATTCAAATGCAGATATGAGGGAATACAGCAATCGCACATTTTAATTGGATCCTTAGGTAAAGAGAGTTTGAGCCAGATATTAATTCAGTGTGAACCACTTTGGTGGGACACACTTCCTTTTTAATGGCTGGCTTCCTTTTTTTCTCCCTTGCCTTACATCTGTGCTCTCATGGCACCCTGAACATCTTTTTTCTTCGCCATGTGCTTGAAATACTTGTAATTGCTTCATCAGCTCCCTTATCTGTTAGATTGCAAGCTCTCCAAGAAGAGAGTCTGTGTCTGTTTTATTCATCAGTGTATCCTCTGAACAACTTCGTATGGTGCCTGGCATGTTGTTGGCCTTTCAGAAACATTTGTTGGATGGGTAGATGGATGGATGGATGGATGGATGGATGAACAGATGGATGAATGGTTGGATAGACCAATGGATGGATGGACAGATGGACAATGAATAAAAATATTTATTTTCCTACCTTCTATTTTTGGAAACCATGATAAGATCATAGCATCCTAAGGTAAAAATATAACCTTTGTTTTGTATCAGAGTCCCCTTGGCCTCTCTTCAGGACTGGCCACCCAGTGTGTCTCTAGGAAAGGGCTCTTGTCTTCTTTCTTTGGTCGGGTTTAGTAAAATATCTTTCCTTTGATCATGGTCTCCGTGGCTTAATTTTTCCATCTGTCAACCAAAAGAAGTGTCCTTCCTGCATAGATGCCTGGGAACCCCCCATAGTCTGCCTAGCCCCCTTGCTGCAGGGATTTCTGACAGCTGGTACTTTGGAGTGATGACTTCGGAGCACACCATACCCAGCACGGGGGACTCAGCACAGTATCTGCCTGACGGGGGTCCCCCACGTGTGCGACATGGTGAGCTCAGGCTGGTGGAAAGCCTGTCGCGCAGGCGAACTCTATGAGATCGCTCCAGTGTATCCATCAGACTGTTCTAGGCATTCTCTTTCCGGGGCTTTCTGAGCACAAAGTGATGGTCTCACTGTAAATATTGGGCCAGAAGATGAGAGCACACTTTCCCAAGCGGTGGGGACATCAGTTCAAACACTGGACACAGAGGTTGTTAAGACTTACTGAGAGTGGCTGGAACCCTGGGTCTTCAAAGAAGTCCTTTCGCCCCTAGGACGGTGGCCTTTGTCTGCCAGCCCTCGGTGGGCCTTCTCTCACTCACGTCTTTGTCTCTCTTAGCTTCTGCTGGCTTTATTCTCGAAGGCGTCCATTTGCCCTGACTCCTGCCTGCCCCACTACAATTGGTAGCTTCTCTCCAGGTCGCTTCAGGATCTGACACTTTCTGGATGTGGCATCTCTCAGGAGCTGACCCAGCTCTGTCTGGGTTGGGCTTTATCACTGCTGTTCACAGGCTGAGAGACTGCCCTTCAGGTCTGGTTTGAGCCAGCAGGAGGCAGAAGGACTGGGGCGACTGCAGACTTCAGACCATCCTCTGTAAATGTGGATTCTCCCAGCCAAGTCCTAAGATGCTGGAGCTGTAGGGAGTTGGCCTTGGGCTCTTTGGTAATGTTGGAATGCCGCTTATAAACCCTGGCCTGGACTTTGAGGGGTTCACAGGGCGATGACTCAGGGTCTTCACGCCCGGACTTCCCTCATTGGCCCATCTGCTCATAACATGCCCTTCCTTCCCCCACCCCTTTGCCATCTCTTCCTGTCTGCATTTTATTCCTCTTCAAGGCCAAGTTCTCACCTCTGAATGAGTGCAGTTTTTGACCTGCAGCACAATTCATACGCCCTGTCCCTTCCTCCTGGATCTGGACCTCATCCTTCCTTTCAGACCCTGAGCTCTTCAGCTCCCCGAGAACAGATACCGCACGGTCTTCTGTCTGTATGGCATAGCACAGACTAGCACCAGGCTCCCTGAATGCAAACCCTTCCTCTGCAGTTTACTAGCTGTGTGGCCTTGGGCAAGTTACTTAACCTCTCTGTGCCTTCTATTCCCCATCAGCAAAACAAGGATAACAATAATACCTAGTTCCTAGGGTGGTGAGGATTAAGTAAATAAATACACGCAAATGGCTACAGCAGTGCTGGGACAGGGGAAACCCTTAGTCGGTGTAAGCTCGGGCCACTACTATCAGCTATAGCTCCTCCTGGCACAGAAGTTTTCGGAAAACGTGCATTCAGTGAGCCTGGATGTGTGCAAATCTGCACACACAGAAATGTGCAGCCTTCCCCCTTGCCTTTCAACCTCATTTCCACCATCTCCCTCCTCCCTTCTTCCATCACCAGGCGATGGCAGAAGGAAAGATGAAAACTCAGTTGCTTAAAGACCCAAAAGATGAATCTATAGTGACCAATGTGTCCCTAAAACCATCATCAGAACAGGAGCTCGGACTGTCCCCCGAGATGTCAAGGGGGCGCTGGCTGGAGAGGGCCTGTCACGGAGGGAGGGCACGGCCACCCAGGGCTTTATCTTCATGGCTCTGTGGTGTCAGCCGCTGCGTCATCCTTGCTTAAACTGTCTGGGTCAGCCGTGAGGAGCGGATTTCCCACGCTTGTCAGCACGCACGGGGCGTGGGGCCCATCAGAGACTAGCGAAGTGAGCACGGAGAGGTCAGGGAGCTTCCGTCCCAGGAGGCCCCTCTTACCAGGCGGAGAAGCAGCTCCCACGGCAGGCAGGGAGGCAGGAGTCTGACGGGCACCCGGGAGGGTCGCCGGGCCCGTGAGCTGGGTTACTGCGGGCAGTTACTTCTCCTCTCTGGGCCTCATTTTTCCAGTGTGTGGAACGAATGAGTTCAGCAGTCCCCAGAGCTCTGACCGACCGTCTATGTTTCTCTGAGAGTTCAACTTGAGAGGCCGGGTGCCTTTTCCATCTGTTATGGGCTAAACTGTGTTCCCCACAAAATTCACATGTTGAAGCCCTGACCCCTCAGAACCTCAGAATCTGACTGTACTTGGAGATAGTGTCTTTAAAGAAGTGGTTAAGTTAAAAATGCCACCATTAGGGTGTCCTGCTCTAGTGGGACCAGTATAAGGAGACGAGATCAGGGCTCAGACACACGCAGAGGGCAGACCACGTGAGGACACGGGGAGATGGCCCTCTGCAAGCCAAGGAGAGAGGCCTCAGAAGAAACCCGATCTGCTAACACCTTGATCTTGGAATTCCAGCCTCCAGTGCTGTGAGACAATGAATTTCTGTTGTCTCAACCCGCCCCTGCCCCACAGTCCGCAGGACTTTGCTACGGCAGCCTGAGCAGACCAGTGCGGCATCAGTTCTCTAAACCTGCGTCCAACCGTTCAACAGAACTCAGGCTTTTGAACTTGGACTTACTTATTTGTCCTCTACATAACTCCCCTGGGAGAGGATGGAAGCCACGATTTAAGGACACAAGCTAAAGATTCCTCTGAAGAAACACACCATCTGGGCAGCTCCAGAGAGTGCTCAGGGGATCTGGGCACTAAACGTGGCCATGACGCCCCTGTACTGTGGCTGGTCTCCTAAAAGGAGAGAGAGTGAGAAACTACAGGCATCTTCAAGGTAGAATGAATCCACCTTTGGTTAAAGAGAAATTGGGAAATGAATCTGAGTCTCTGGTGTCCGCCAAGCCTTGTGCTGAGCCCTGGGAGGAGAGAATGACCACAGCCAAGAACCTGGTAGTTTCAGGAGCCACGCTGGTCCTCAGATTTCCACCAGGGGGCAGTAATGAGCAGGACTGAGGGGATGATGGGGTCTGAATGCACCCCAGGAATTTCTGGCCTTTCTGCATCAGTCCAGATGAGGAGGAGGTTCTGCTTTTTACCAACTGACTTCCAATGACCTGTGGCCTTGGGGCAAAGGAACATGAATTAATAAAACCTCAGGCTCACTTTTTTCCGAAGTGTATTCCTTGGGATGCTAGTCCTGTGGGTCGTCACAAGTCTCCTGCAAAAAGTAAAGGAGTGTGTGTAAGTCAAAGCGATGGAGTCGGAAGCCTCGCACTTGAACGGTGGTAAGCGGGCTTCTCCTCCCGGTGGACAGGGCCCCCCAGCTCTTTACGATGATGCTGGGTGCACTGCTATCATAAAAGAGCGTTTCCCAGACTGGGGTTTTCTGTGGAGCAGCTGCTGCACTGGTTCCCCACACTCTCCCCATGGCTGCCCTGAGATGTCTGGATGATAAGCGGTGAGTGGTCACCGGGCAAATGACCAGTGGGGCAGAACACTGGGGGCGACCCACAGAAGCATGACCCTGGCCTCCCCTTCCTCCTCACCTGTCAAAGAATCCCAGGACCCAACAGGTAGATAATAGATCAGGCGCCTACCAACATCCATAGTTTAGAAATCAGTGTGATGCCTTAAGTTTCCTTTAATACACAAGGGAAATAGAAGAAAGGGAATTTACAAGAAGATGTATATTTCAGCGCTCGGGCGCAACTGCCAGCTGGCAGAAGTACCTACGCAGATTTCCAGATCCCTCCTGGGGGAAGCGCCAGCCTCGCCCAGCACCCTGCAGTGCTTCTCAACCTATCTGTGCTGTGCATTCTTATCAAGAGTGATATGGTTCCCAACGGGGTGAAAATTGGTTCTCGGAGGGGGATGCAAATGAGCGTTACTGTTTTTGCGTATAAGGCGCAGACATACATACAAGCACATAAACAGATATTCAGAATATCTATGGTATTAAAATTTCATGGTGGGAACAGAGCACGTAGCTCTGAGGGTTTGAGGGGGTGTTGCTAAAAATGCTCCACAGGGGAGGCAGTAGTGGAGAAAAAGACTGAGAAACCCTGATGGGTAGGAAAAGCCCAGCTCTTCTTATTTCCGACGTATCATGAACTGTTACTTTTATAAAATGCAATAAATAGGAATTATTAGAAAAATAGAATGGGGGGAAAAGAGACAAACGTAAGCCCCAAGTTTTTTATTATTGGATTCAGCCAATATAAAATTGCTCAGAATTGCTGTAAATGCTTTTAAAGCTGACTCACAATTTCCATCTGAGTCTTTTCTTTGCAGACGATTGATGGACAGGCTGTGTCTACACTTTGGGAAGCCCTGGTCTAGGGGTGCTGGGGTGAGAGAGAGAAGCAGGAGTGCTGGGCATGCCAGGAGGGGGGCATCCCTGAGGGGTCTTAGAAGCCCCAAAGGAGTTGGCTAAGGGGGAAGGAGGGAAGAGCGTTTCAGCAGAAGGCACAGTCTGGGCAGAAGCACCGAGGGAAGAGCGTGGCACCTGTGAGGATGGCGGTGGCGAGGGGCAAGGTACAAGGTACGGCTCTGGCGGAGGATGGGGACCCAGAGAGAAGGGAAGACCAGGCAGAAGGCAGAGCACACAGCCTCA